TAAGTCACCAAATCCACTAAAAACTTGTATATAGGGGTAATTCAACATCCTGATTACGAGTATGACACTCATTCTTGGCGCTGGCGCCAAGAGAGGACACTACGATTACCTCCTGGGCTCAGCCTTAGCAGAGCGCAGGTAACCGTAGTGTCATCCATTAGCGCCAGCGCCAAAAATGAATGTCATATTCGTGATCAGGATGTTGAACCCCTATATACAAGTTTTTAGCGGATTTGGTGGCACTTTTAAAATGAGCTCGGAGCCGAAATTTCTGGAGTCCAAACGGCATTAGCCCTTTACCCAAATCAAAGAGGCAGCTTTGAGACTCTTCGTCAGGTCGTAGCGCGCCATCGCGAAGTGTGAGGGCGATAGAACGCCGTGCAGATAGTCTGTAAAAGACGAAATGAGCTCTCACCTTCCGGCGGATCCTTGCTCTTGACGTGTAAGAGAATGGGTTCACAGCTGCAATAGCCTGCCACTTTTTCCAGGCAAAAGCGGGAGAAAACGTGATATATCCTCTACTGCTGATTGCATATTTAGCTATGGAACCCTCGGTATTAGTGCAAGCGCTGCGCTTGGATGGTAGCCCGGGCGGAGTTGGGTGACAGTATCACCACCCTCCAGGCACGTTCCTGTGCACTTTTGAGCGAAGAAAGCGGCACCCTACTGCAGCTGCAGACCCATCTGCCTAACACATGGCAAGGAATCCACAGAGATGAGTGAACAGTTCTTATCAATTCTCTAGACACATCTTCTCCAACGTCAAGTGGACAAAGCTTGATCTAGTTTTATTAAGGTTTCGGCGCAGTGGTATTCGTTATTACGTTTCTTGTCGCATTATATGCTGTTCGCGAATCACATGAAAGTTTCACCCATATTTCAAATGTCATCACAAACGCCAAAGACATCGCCAGCTGCCATAAAAAGACTGAAGGTATGCTTGGAGTTGGTGGGAGAAATCATACCACGGGAAAATACCACGTCCACATTACATATAGGGTGGGAAATGTTACCTCTGATTAGCGGTGTCGCAGCTCGAGCACTGTTCTTTTGGTGGTGCATTCGATATCAGGGCACAGCATCGTTGTGTGAAGCACATAGGGGAGTTCGTACTTATACCCCCGCTCGACGACTTTTTCGCCGACTATATACTCATCGCTCGTCAGTCGGCGAAAGAGCCGGTCGAGCTGAGGGGGGGGGTCGTACCAACGGGGAAAAAAAGGGGGGGGGTCGTGGCGCGGACCCCATTCGGAGGGGGGGGTCGTACTCACACCGACATTTCGCCTATCCCTATGCTGTACCCTGCTCGATATATCAGACAGGGCTAATCGACATGAGAAACGAAAGAAATGTAGGAAAAAAACGATGCGTCGTAGCATTCCTAGGTTGAGTGAGTTATGTGCGCCACGCATCACGCGCTAAGGGGAGGGGAGGACGAGCGGTTCCGCAGGTGTAGAAGTATGCCACTTTCATGATTCGAGGGGGCGAAGAAATGAAGGTGGGCGTAGTGGATGTCCATGATCCCCTCCCGTGGGTCACAGCGTACAGCAAGTGCGTCTATCCTGCAGCGAACAATATAAACGGTAAGCTGTCTATCGCAGCTACTTATAAGAATCAACAACTCCCTTAAAAACTAGATGGGCGCATGTAGGTGCCACGACTGGTTTGGTTGCAGAGCGGCAATTCACCTGCTGCGGGCCTTGATGGAGCTCCATATGGCATCCAGCTACAACTACCCTCATTCCAGCCTTGTTTCCTCGCTCTTTCGAGTAATGATAGAGGCATACTTCTACTGCAGTGGACCCGCACATAGTAAGGACCACGGTTCTCGGAGGGGAGTGTGCAGTGTATCAAAGGAAGCCTTAGTTTGCTGCGGGCCGCTCTTCTAAGCAGAGTTATTAGAAAGGTGGTGGGTTTTTGGCACACCGTTTCACACCTGAGCCCTCTGTAACTGATTCTCCCTCTAACCCATTTACCGTACTAATTTGAAAATTATCAGTGAACCTGGTTAATCACATTCCTCTGGTGGTATTAACAAGCCTCTGAGGATCGTGACTACAAACTGCGGGTGCGGACCTGGTTACCTCACATGCGCATGGAACAGTGCGACCCGGCCAGCTATGGAGCCTCCAACATACCCCGAAATTTCATTCATTTCCAAGAGCGGAACAAAATTGTTGGAAAAGAACATCGGTAACAACTTTCTAGACGTTCTCAACTGCTCATCGCTTTACGACAGCGTTCTGAACGGATGCCTTGAGGTTAAAAGAAGGGTGATGCCGAGGAAACCGCTAAACAGCACACTTAGAGCACAGATCTGCCCGGAGATGACTACATCGATCACATCTTCAGCAGAACAATACTACAGGTAATCATATGAGTTGAACTTGCCAATGAAATATCATGAGAACATTTCTAGAGAGTTCGCCGCACCCTACTATAGGGATTTCGATGTTCCGGTACGAAGGTTTTACTGCTAGGGTACAAACTTATAGAACTCTAAGTTTCGTATTTCAGCGATTTTATTCCTACTTGCTTTGTTTGCGATATATACGTGCATCGCAGTGGCTGGCGTCAGCTTCGTAAAGCTCACATTAGCATATGCGTGTAAGTTTTTATTAGCTGAAGCCTCAAGAAAAAAATTAAGGTACCTCACCATACACACCGTAAGGCTGCGTTCATACTTGGCGACAGCGTCCACCAGCGTCTACCACCGACACCAACTATTGGCGTTCATCAGCGGCAAGGAAGGTATATATTGAACACGATGTGCGCAAACTGCAGCGCCTCATGCCACCGACCCTCACTCTACCCTTATACCTTAGCGACCCTCAGAGTCGCTAGCAACCATCGAGCGTCTTAACGGACCGTAAAGTGTGGAGACTTCGATCTCCAGTTTTTTAAATTCACCAAGAGATATTAGAAGTGTGAACCTAACAAGGGAAGGTTTAATCTCCCACGGCAACTTTGAATGCGACCTAGGTACATAGTAGAACCCATTGAATGGTAATACAATATGCAGGTTAAAAGTGCATGGACCTCCGCAGGCGAGATCGAGTGGTTGAAAAGTTTGCGAAAAGTCATTGCTAATAAGCGCTGCTGCGTCAATCAGTCGCGGTAGCCACAGTGGGCTGTGGAACGGTCTCTCTTTTGCAAACAGATGCTCCCTGTTTGTATCCAGCGTTGGGCACAAGTTTTGCCTCGTCGTCTACAGACTTTTCTACTCGTACCATTTACAAATTCTTTCCGGTTTACGACCCAGCAGAGCAAGTAGATCAAGTACATCAAGTATATGACGTACTCGATCTAGTATGGATTTGGTCATATCTGCCCTCTCTGAACATATTACCCATCCGACAATTCAAAGTTTTAGCGAGAAACTCGTTCATGGGAGATTTCGACCCCCTGAACACGAATATCACATCCTTCGACGAAAAAACGCTCGTCTGGCCAAATTGCGATTCTGGGCAAAACTTCGAATTGTCGGATGGGTAATATGTTGAGAGAGGGCAGATAGTCAAATCCACACTCGATCAATTACGTCAATTACGTCATACATTTGATCTACTTGCTCTGCTGAGTCGTAAACTCGGAGAATTTCGAAAATTAGAGTAAAAGCTCTTATAGGAGACGAAGCAAAACTTTCGCGCCAACGGGATGCAAACCCACAAGCATTTGCCTTTGAAGCGAGACCGTTACCACTAGGCCACGGTGGCACTGCCTAGCATCGATCAGCAGCGCTTACGAGCCAAAACTGACTTTTCGCAAACTTTGACCACCCAGATCTCGTCTGGGAGGTCCCCGTAGCACTTTTAATCTGCATATTCGTAATCAGCATTCGAGGCTCTATCGATGTACCTAGGTCTCCATTCAAAGTTCCATGGGAAGTTCAAACCATTCCCTTATAAGTTCGACTTCAAGAAAGGCACTGAATATCATGAAAACCTTGAAGAACTGTTCAGTGCTAACGTACAGTCGATATCGTTGCAATCCGACGACTCGGCACTAGGATGCTTGGAATGAGCCCAGTCGCAGCGCATTCTCCCACTAGTTGCTTTCTAACTGAACCTGTCCACATTAGTAGCAAACACAGCCACGGACGGGCCCCTTCTGCGCCTTCTGACATCGCCCAGTGGAATCGCGACGATGTGATCTGGTTGCGATGGGACTCTTCAGCAGCGACCACGTCCTTTCCT